CTGGTGTTTTTGCTTCAGTTCAGTTCGTTTGGCTATCCAAATCACGCTTATTGAATTTCATTTTTATCCTGGCCTCTGCTTTTCTTCCTTTTTTGTTGCGTTATTAATGGGCCGCCAACCCCACTCGTCGATTAAAGCCCAAGAAAAACTTTGGGTGAGCTGTCAAAAGAAATATTTTAAATCACTTTCGAACCCTGAGGAAAATCCCATCGTGGCCCATATATAATAATTTTGCCACTCAAGAGGGGCAGATGTGTTTTATTAAACATTTTCCGATTTTCCCAAAAGCAGGCTGCACTGCATAAGCAGCGATTTATTTTATGTGGGGCCATTTTCCTTTTCTGCGGATTTACTTTGATGTTTTTGTAGTCTGTGAAATATGAGTGCTTAAACCTAGTCATTTTCAAATATGTATGTACTTTTGGGTAAATATGCAGAAGAAACCTCAACTTGTTTTGCAATTAAACTCGGTGCAAAACGGCGGCTGCAACAGGTGCATGGCACGCATCACGTATACGCCCCGTGGGCTGCGTGCGTGTTTTATTTATGGGGAATTCTACCATCCCCCTTAAATGCAATAAGCAAATGAGCGAACAACGAACGAGCCAAGCGGCAGCAGCCAAAAAAGCCTCAAGAAAATGACGTTGCACGCACACGACGTTGAAAAGTCATTAAGTACAAATGACGTTGCTCACTGCAAAAAGCCTTTTCCAGACGGGGAGGGGGCGGGGCTTTTCCACTGGGGGAGGCTCAGGTTGGAGCCGTAATTGCAGCACGTTTGAGCACAGCTAACTGCATATTGAGTAATGCCCGCGAGCAAACGACAACGATGGCAGCAGCAGAGGATTGGTAGTAAAGGCGGTTGGGGAAAAAAGGGTTGAGAAAAGGGGTGCTGGAATTGGGTGGGGATTGGATTGCAGGGGGGTTTTCAGAGGGGGTGGGCTGAAGCGAAGGCTGTTGCAACGTTTGCCTTGCATTATTTATGACAAAGCGGGCACCAAATTAAGACCCACTGGAAACCAGGCAAGTCGAGCAGAAGTGCTCGAATTGGGAAAATGAAATCACCAAGGGGTATATCATTCATTTAAAGCCTGATTTATGCCTTTTTAGAGCTGTCTCTAATAAGGGTTTAAGCCTTACAAATAAAAAAAACTTTTTGAGGATTTATAAAAAAAACTTAAATATTTTTGGAAATGTAAAGTATTGAAATGGAAATAAAAGTTAGTGATATTTTATTTAAAACACATTTTAGACACAAATAAATTAATATAATAATATTTATACGGATTCGAAAAATACCCATCAATGAACCTTATTCATAAATATGCATTTCTAGCCAAAATGAAAAATATATTTTGTACCATATATTTTTTTTTTTAAATATTATCATGACGAATATACATTTTATTTTTGAAAAAGAAATATATTTAATTAATTTATGGGCTCGTAAAATTTAAAACACTTAGAAACAACTAAAGGAACTTCAAACCTTTGGACACCTTTTGTGCAGCCCTGAAATCGTAGCTGTGCCTATGCCCACATCTCAAGGATCCCCAGGATGCGAGGAGCTTTGAGTGTGCGGTTGACTCCAGGTACCAGGTACACCTGTGCGTTCGTTCGAGTGCTGGCTTTTATTTACTTGGCGTAATTTAATATTATGCCATGGCAACGATGATGACGACCATGTCGTGCATCCACTGAAAGCATAAATAATCTGTTGCACAGGGAAATGTCGTGAGTGTATCGGGAGTTGGCTCCATTTGCTTTTTGATATGAGTCCCCCGCTTAATTAATTCCAGCTTTAAGCAACAGGGGCGCAAATTGCCAATCGCCAATCGCCTTTTGGCCAAATGTCAACTGGCGAATTGGGCAGCTGACACTTGTCGATAAACCCGTCGTCCACGTTGTCCAAATCAATTAGGAGCCTTTCACGTTAATCGCGCCATATATCAGGCTCTTTCCATCTCTCTCCTATCCTATGGCTATCCCCCTCTAATCCCACAACCCCCTCGAGGGCCGTAAGCGATACCCAGATCTTGACAAAAGGGCCCGAAAAGGTCGATGACAGGCGGCGGAAGTCAGCAGGGGAAAAAAGGACAAATCAGCACGCGACATTTTTCGCGCGCTGTTGCTGGTCCTGGTTTTTTTTTTTTTTTTCCATTTTATTCGTGGGCTAATGAAGGACCAAAAAGCGAGCAGAACAAAAGGCGTGAAAGTCAACGAAACCGAAGCCAAAGTGTTAAAGTACGATAAAAAGATTAAAGTGCACAAACAAACACACGACGCGACACACTGAGACAAAAACGGGCAGGCAAATTGAGATAAATTTCAGAAATACTCAAACAAAAGACACATAAGGATTTTTTCCGGGGAGGAATCCCTGCAATTGCTAATAGAAAATCGGATCAGATTAGACTTAATGCGGCGACGGCTAATTTTTGGGTGATTTCTCATCGAAACGGGAAAGCGGCAGGATTCAGGACTCCTCATCCCTTTTAAATCTTTGGCGCCATCGCTCCAAAAACCAACGGAGAGCTGTCAGCGGCAATACGCCGGCAATGACAGCTAAACAAATGACACAAATGCGGTGGGGTTTTCGGGGGTAGGGGTTTGTGGGGTTGGGGGTTGCTAGGCTGACAGACCCCCAAACACACAGAAGGATATATGAGAGTATATCTGAGTATCCAGAAGCAAACTGCGAGAGCTGAACGGCGAGCGTCATCAACATTTCCGCTTCCGGCTGTTTATGCTAAAAGTATGGCGACGACAACGCCACTGATGGGTGGGTGGTTGGCAGTGGGTGGCGATGGTGGGCTAGAAAGATGGGCCACCCGCTGAGCTGTCAGACGCCTTGGCTGCCACCGGATTTTTCTCCCTTTTTTTTGTTGCCTGCTGGATGAGGAGGCATCTATCATGTTCATGGCTCGACTTTCGTTTGGCAGCTCCCGAATGCTAACTAAGACAGCCAAACTACAGGAAACTATTGATTAGGCGGCTATCAGGCGGAGCAGTCGCTGTGATTCCCGGCCCTCGGATTATCCATTGGAATTTCATTGGCCCTAATGGCCTTTAAGGACACTCTGGGCATTTCTGAGTATAAAAGGCCCATACATAAAGTAAACAAATCAGAGCCAGATGCTTTACAAAATATGCGAAAAATTTTATATTTAAGGTCAATAAAAATAATGTTTGATATGCATATTGAATCATTAAAAGCCATTTTCACTAACTAAAAAGTGTAGAATAAATTTCTACAAAATGTTTGCTTACTAATAATTGTTTTTAATGTTTTTTGTGCAAATATCCTAAAAGAAATAAACCAAATAATATTGCTAGAATTTAAAAAAAATATTTAAGCAAAGAGGCAAACAATTCCTGTTAGAATGTGAAATAATTATGTAAATCTTTCGGTAAATATTATGGCGGTACATTTTAAATCTAAAGCTACATAAAGGAAAGTATTGATTTAAACTTTCAGCCATTTAAATAGTTGCATTCAAAGTTTCTAAAAATACATTTTAAATTTAGTATAGTTAAAAATATCTGGAAAATGTAACAAAGCAATTAAGCATCTATTAAAAACAATCTTAATTAAATGCGAAACAAATAAATCAGGGCAGCACTTGCAAGATATTGGTGGAAGGAGACTCGTATCCGCTTTGGCTTTTGAAGCTGCTAACCAAACGGCAAAGGACATGGCCAAGAAGCGCCAGCTATCAATCACATTCTCCTGCTCTCACTCAGATACCCCCCACTCATACTCCACTCACACAGAGACAAACGGGGGGAAATGAAATAATTATGCTTAGCTGGCATTCCCGTTGCCATAGAGGTCCTTTGCCGGGGTCCCGGGGTCCTTGGAGCGTCCTTTGGCGCTCTGGTTTCATTTACATGATGATGACATCTCTGCTTATAAATAATTACACACACGCACTGCGCTGTTGTCGCATACATTTTGATATTTAATTTTTATGTTTTTGTTATCTGCCAGGCAAAAGGTAAATATTCCTGTTTGCTTCTCTGGTTCCTTTGGTTCCGTTTGCTGGCGGATTTTTACATATTTATGAGTGAGTTCCACAGACGACTGTTTCCCCGGGGGAATAAATAAATCCGGGGGCTGGCTGACTGCTGCTCGTCCAACTAATTGAAAACTAAAATGTCAATGGCAATCTCATCATCCTTCGCCAGCCCAGGATCATTCTATTCGACCAGACACGCCACTCAAAGGCAGCCCGGGGTTATGAAATCTGCGCTTTAAATATGACAGGAAAAAAAGGAATCTCTGGATAAAGGCGGGCAAACAGCCCCGATTTTTGCAACTCCAGCGCGGCTAAGCACATAAAACGGCTTTTCATTTCGAGGGCCAGGAATTGTATCGCCATTGCTCCAGGCTCTCCAGGCTTCCAACTCCATTCTCCAGTTCCGCGTCCATATAGCCTTAACTCCATCTCCCAGGCGCCGGCTTCCGACCACGTTTGATCCTAATGTGCTCCTGTCAGAGCCTGTCGACGTCAGCCGGACTCTCGCCAGCTATTTCGGGGATTAATGTCAATGTGAAAGGATTTTTCCTATGCATTGGAACTCAACTAGCGCCCTTCTACTTTCCCCGCTCTTCTGTAGCATTTCCATTCACATTCACTCGGAAAAAGCACTGGGGATTCAGTACATGAATTAAGCATTTTAAATGAGAGGACCAAGGGGGGAGAAACATTTTTTTAGTTTAGTTTTTTTAAAGGAGTATTCATGCCAAAATAACGGAACATTATAATTAGTTAACCTTAAAGAAATAAGCTATTTATTTTAATTTAACCTTTACTGACAAGGTTATTTTTTATTGGGTATTTTAGATAAAATAGTAAAATTCATAAAATGAATAAGGTAAATATTCCGATAAAATAGATAAAATATATAAAATAGATCAAAATTATATTATAAAGAGAGTGACATTTTTTCCGAGTGTTCCTCCTTCGGCACCATAGTAGTCCTGTCCAAAAACGTTAACAAAATCCAGCAGAAAACTCCCACACACGCAGACACACAAGCCACTTACACCCACTAACGCACAGAAACACAGAGAAAACATGGCCAAAAAGGAAGAGCTCCTTATGGACGGGCCCAAGCGGCTGAACCGCGAGCTGGCCCTGATGCTGGAGGACAAGCAGAACCTGCAGTTCCGCAACCTGATGGTGGAGCCGAACAACATCTACAAGTGGACGGGGCTGCTGATGCCGGTGGCCCCGCCCTACGACAAGGGCGCCTACAAAATGGAGATCGACTTTCCGCTGGACTATCCGTTCAAGCCGCCCCGCATCCACATAAACACGAGGATGTACCATCTAAATGTCAACGAACGCGGGCAGATTTGTGTGCCCATCCTGGAGATCGAACACTGGATTCCAACGACACGGATCGATCAGGTCCTGCAGGTCCTGCTGGCCACCATCAATGATCCGCAGCCGGAAAATGCGTGGCACATGGAAATGGCCGGCGAGTACCTGAATGATCCGGTGCGATTCTTCAAAATGGCCGATGCCTGGGTGCAGAAGTACAGTGAAAAACGACCCACCGAGGAGGAATTGGCCAAGTTCGCCCGAAAACGCAAGAAGGCAATGTCGAAGGATTAGATTTCAATATGTCCTTGAAATATTTATACTGTATAGGCAAATTCAAATGTCAGAAAATTAATTAAAAGTGTAATAATTCAAAAAATAGTTTCTAGATATAAAAGGCTTCCAGAATCCTTTTTGATACCGCCTATAAATATTTTGGATTACATAATTTAGGGAATTATGTAATGTTTCCCACGAACATTTTTATATTTCTTGGGAAAAAGTTAGTCATTGTAATCCTAAAAATCAACGAACAATCTGGTTATGAAAAACCTCTAATTATAGTCACTAAATGTTTATTATCCAACTAGGAATATTAAACTTTATCGAAATCGAATTGCGAACAGAAGCGTCTTTTATGCTCCATTCGCCGAACTCTATTAAAATCGCATTTGAATCTTATGTATTGCCCCAATCAACGCCCATTTATCGATATATTATTTCCGCCACCAATTGCTGGAAATTGAGTTGAGGGACTTTCTCAATCGAAGTCCCCCCACGGAGCGGCGTCTTAAATTGCTGGCTGAGCTTTGTTTTCACCCGCAAACCTCCCCCCATCGTATATGGCCATATGACCATCTAATTGGAAGCGTACAGTGAGCCCCAAGCGGAAGGCAGGCAGGAGCAGGAGCAGGACACTTCTACTCCAGCCAGCTGCGAGATAAATCATCCGCCTCGGCGGCAAACAAGGATGCCCCACGCGGCGTCGCCCAGCGAGCGGGCGGCATTAGCTGCCAGTGTCATTGCCATTGTCAGCGGCATATCATCGTCCTCATCCGCATCGCATTCGCATCCACATCCAAATCATCCGCCTCCGCATCCGCGTCATCGTCCGCATTTGTATTCCTATTCCTATTCGCATTTGGATCCGCATCAGCGTCAAAGTCCTGCTGCTGAACCGCTGAAAATCCGTGCTGTGTCCGGGGCCATATAAATTTCAGCAATGAATGAATCAACTTTACGAACATCGAGGACACATGTGACTTGCTTTACGGTCCCCCACCGCCATTCTTCACACTTCTGGCACTGAGAACAAAAATGTCTTGATTATAAGGAAAATGGGATTTTTTGGTCTTTAAAGATGAGATAAATCAATAAATTCCCATATTTAAAGATCAAATATTAAAATTCAGTGTTTCAATAATATATGTAGGTATTCAAAAATATTATAAAAAAATTGAACAACCTACAAAAGAAAATTGTTTTTCTTTTCAAAATGTTAGGATATTAAAAAAGTTTTTATTGTTTAAAGCATGTTGAAATAAAAACCCATTGAAATTGTGAATAAATAAAATTGCTTTTCTTTTCAGTAGTCGAATTTTTGCATATTAACTTAAAGCCCCATTATTTTTCTGCCTGTGTAAAATCTTTATGTGTGTGCGTTTAATGTGCCTGTGTGTTTTGGGCAGTTCACTTGATATGCTCACTCGCTCTCTATCTGCGACCAAACTTGGACTTGTCAATGGCAGTAGTGGGAGTTGTTGGGTGCAGGATCCCTGAATCTGGGATCTGGAATATGGTTGCCTGGAGTTGGGTGATGGGAATAAGCTGCCACTATAATTACAGCAAAGGCCAAAGGCACACACAGCAGGGCTAAAGATATTTGTATCTAGTTTCTTTACTGCTGGATTTACTGCCCAAACAGATAGAGTGAGTGGTTCCGGGGGACGGAGTACGGGGGTTTGAGGATGGGGGCCAGATAACTGGTGTCCCGAGCAACCATTGTGAAGATGGATTACCATGGCGGCAGCGTCAACAGTTTTTCTATGTGCGAGCATGTTTTTGTGGGCGGCAGGGGGGCGTGGCGGGGAGGGGCGGCCGAGGCGTGTGTCTTGTTAAAACTGCCAACTGATTATTATCACCTTCCAACTGGCAGGCCAGTCATTGACACCCATTGCTGCCGTCGTCCTTCAGCTCGGCCATCGAGAGTCCGCGATGGTGCACTCAGAAAAAAAGTAATTACATTAATTAAATATTAATTGAAATTTTCGTTTTTCTGTTATATTGACCTGTATGTAAGAATATTACCCCAATTTTAGAGCAGAAAGGTATTTTTATAAAATTGTTTAATGGATTTACATTTTTACTCCCCAAGTTTTAAAAATTATATCTGAAAATATACTCTTAAAATTTAGAATAATAAGTAATAAATAAAACTGATTTATTGCTTAAAATTTAATCACCTGATAATTATATAAGATTTTTAAAAATTTTAAATGTAATTTTAAAGTATTAGACAATGCTAGAGAATTGGAAAATAAACGTATAGTCCCATATTTTTTTCTGTTTAGTCCCTGATGCTGGGATCTCAAACTTCTCGGACTCGGCCACGCCCACCGCCCCGAGTGGCGCCCTCTAGTGTCTGTCACTGGCAGAAGTCGTTTGCTGTTTGCTTTATTTCTCTTTCTCCATCTCCAGCTCCTCTCCAACTTTTTCCTTCTCCTCCTCCGACCACTTCATCTTGCTCTGCGGCAATGAATCGCAGTTTTTGATTAGCTACAGACAGCTGAAAAGGACGAAGAGGAGGAGGGGGAGTGGGAGGGGGAGGGAAGGACGAATTATATAACCGTGGCAACCGCTTCGGAAGTTTTTCTTTGTTTCAGTCGCTACTTAATTACTGTTTGCCAGTTCGAAATTAGAACCCACATTTTTGGTAACAAAAAGGAAAAACAAGTTTAAAATTTATATAATTATTTTATTAAAAAATTTTTTTTTTTATATGTATTTATATTTAACTTTATTTTCAAAACTCGATTAGTGAATAATATATCCCAAAAATTTTAAATTCACAATTTCGGGTTTTAAATTGAGCAATTCGAAAAACGTAATCAACTCGTACAATTTAAAGTAAATTTGTTTAATTTACTTTGTTCAATTTGTGGCGTTTTGGAAATGCAGCAAAAACGGATTTAAGCCAAATGTAATAAAGCTGCATAAATGGTCGATCGATTTTGCATTCATTACCAAAAGACGGCGGGTGGGCGGTTGGTCGGTTGGTCGGTGTTTTATAACAATTTACGACCTGCGACCCATAAAATATGCAGCTTATAAATTGCATAATTTATACAGGACCTTACGCACACAGCTAGACAAACAAAGTCAGATTGCGATATGAAGCATTGTTAATTCATACATATGAACTCGGTTGGCTGCTGGGCCAAAAGTGCTTACAAGTAAATAAACGGTGCAGATACACTACAGATATAATATAGATATAGGGTGGAATGTGCAATTACAGGTGCCGATGAAAATACCCAGATAACTGCTGCAAAAGGGAGCTTAAGCTGTTTTCTGCTTTTGTTTTCACTGCAGCGCTTTTCTGCCGTGCGCACTGCTTGTAAAACCAATAAAATCAATTAAAAGGCACTCAACATGCAAACAATTATATGCAAATTTATTTATACACACACAGCCAACTAGAAGCACGCAATGCCAATGCAGCCAGCAACCAGACCAAAGAAAGCAGAGTGGAAGTGGTATTGGAGTGAAAGTCAAAGCTGAAAACGGTTTTATACCTGTCAAGTGCTCGTTAGATGGGTATGTTGAGTTTAGAAAAATGCTGGTAAAATAAATCGTTTGCACGTAGTTCAAGTTAAATAGAAAATTTCTAAAATAAAGGATCATTATGAGTAGTTGTTGAATAAGAGTTTTCATCGCAGCACCATAATACGTTCTTTCCTTAAATAAATAACAGAATATTATTAAACAGATAAAACATTTAGCTAAATTTCAAAATTAAAGGAGACATTTTTCATCACATCCTTAAACATTATGTCATTATACCAGGATTAAAAAAAAGTAATTAACAACCCATGCAAAAGGCTTTTTTCATTAAATTTTTGAACATTAAATCCAAAATTCTATCAAACCTTAGAGATTCATTTTTTTTACTAAGTATCAAAAACTCTCAAGACTTGACAGTCGAATGGCCCCCGAGTATTTGCATATGCCGTACGAAAAAAGCCCGCAAATAAATATAAATATACACGGACTTCTGGGCAGCAGGAAAAATAAAGCAAAATGGCAACAAGCGAAACAACAACAAAGCAGCTCAAAGCAAAGGCAATGAAAACACACACAGGAGGCGGGGAAAAGTGGGCGGGACGAAAAGGGACGAAGGAAAAGGCAGGCAGGCGAATTGAACCTGTTGCGCACAACAACAACAATCCGAACGAAACAAACAACAAAAGCAGCAAAAACAACAATGCCAAAGGATAAAGGTCCTGTGAAAAATCGCTGCTCCTTGCGGAAAGCAGGAACGGAACGGAATGGAAATGGAACGAAATCTGGGAGCGAAAGAGCGCAGAAAGCGGTTGAAAGGCGGATTGAAAGGCCGGTTGAACAAAAGAGTGGGCGCAAAGAGAGCGGCAATGAGCTGCGCATGCGCTGAGCGAAAGTGGAGCAGTCTGCCAAGGAAATTGAAAGGGAAACGAGTGGAAGAGAGCGGAGAAGCAAGAGAGGAACGTTTGGGAGGCGAAACAGTTGATAGCTCAATTGGCGCTGCTCAAAAAATGGGAAAATCATATGCGGGGGTGGGAAAAGTGGGAAAAAGAGAAAGAGCAGCCTCGTTTTCCACTTTTCCATTTCGTTCCCATTTACCGTTGTCAGTCGTCGCGTGTGCGTGAAAATCATTAGTCTTCGTTAGGCGGTCTTTGTGTCAACAACGTGTTGCTCCCTGTGAAAAATCGAAATCGTGAAGTCCAACAATCGCCCCTCGCGATTTTCCGCTCGCGTTTTTCCGTTCACAAGGACTACAAAAGTGTTTGTGTGTTTTTCGCCCATAAACCAGTGTGCGTGCCAAAGTGCAACAAGTCTTAACCGTAATTTAATTGCAACAATTTCGCCGCTTTCCACATTTCCCGATTTGAACAAGTGCAAAACACGACTCGATCGTATCGGGCCAAGAAGATATATCAGTGTCGCAGTGTTCGTGCAAAGTGGAGCATTCATCTCCCGAAAAAACACAAAAAACCCAGTCAAGTAAGTTCCTCTTTTTTTGTTGCAAGTAAAAACGAAAGGAAAGCAAAAGGAAAAGGACTATGAAAGGAAAGAAAAATCCCTATTTGTGCAGCATACATTTTGGCGCAGTACACAGAAACAAAGACAGTGAAAAACTTAAAATAAAAAATCAAATTTGAATGAACAAGCTGTAGAATAAATCATTCCCTATCTGTGTTTGTCTTAATTTTTCCTTTTGGCGATATGGAAATAATTAAAATAATATAGAAAAAGGAAGCAACCTTCATAATGATAAACAGATCTGAAGTTTTGTGATAAAAACACTCTATTTAGATGTTCTTAAAAAAATGAATATTACTTATCCATATCAAACATCCTATGATCGATAAAAGAAATAATATTTATTCTTAGAGGTTTCTATAAATGTATTTTCAACATTTTAATTCTGATGAGATACAAATGTGATATTTATAAATTCAAAAGCTGTATTTATTTTGTTGGTAATAGAACCATGTATTTCAATCATGTTTTAAGATTCGAGGTGCCAGTAAAAAAGAATTCTTGAAAATGAATAAAATCATAACAAATAGTTCAAAAAATCTTTAAATTAAAAAAGAAAAATTTGTATCTTTTTTCGTAAAAAGTGTTATCGCCCAGAAATTTCTATTATTTTGTGACTTGCCCAACTTAAAGCCGATTTGCCTCCCAAGTTTGTAATGGTTGGTTTTTAGAACAAAACACTTGACATTTTCCTCTGTGCTTTCTTGACGTACTTTTTTGTGGGTCAATGGACGCTCAAACACTCGGAGGAAAGGACGAAAGGAGCTGCCAGCGAAGGCAAACACACAATAAAAATATGTTTCTATGATGTATACTTATGCGTATTTATACATATTGCCCTGCTAAGTGGGCTAAACAAAGTCAGCGAATTCCTCGCAGTTGGAAAACTTTTGCCAGACAAACAAACAAGCAAACAAACAAATGGCAGCAGCAGCAGCGGCGGCAGCAAACAAAGGCAAACAAATCCCTGGGACATTTCTCGGAATTTAATTCAATAAAATGAATTCCAGTTCTCGGGCACCCAGGGTGTCCTTTTGCACTCTTGCTTTCAAAGTTGTTTTTCATTTTTTCCTATTCTCGGCTAAATGTCTGCAAATTAACTTTGCGAAAAGCAAAGAAAAACGCAGAACGAACGAAATTCCATTTGACAAATCGCAAACGTAAATAGATCCTCCGAAAAATAAGAAAAAGTGTCTCCAAGTCGGGATTTTTAAATGCAATTTAAGTTTTCTCTCCACTTCTCCTACTTTCCCACTGATAAATGGCGAGGGCCAAAAGTTGCGAAATTTAACATTAACCTTGGGTCGCTGGTAGTTCCATCTCTCCATTTCTTCGGGCCCACAAAAACCCTGTGTAATAGACTCACAGCCAAAAACTAAATCACTGTCATTGTGGTCGGAGATTCCCAACCCGAAACACGGACACACATGCAGTGGGAAATTTACACCAGAAGTCACAAGGATAGCATTTTTTACTACGAATATTTAATCAGTGTTGCATTTTGTTCAGGAATTTTTTAAACAATTAAACGCAGTGGATTTATAAAAAATCTATTTGTGCATTTAATGATTTTAGTATAACTTAAAAGTGTTTTATATTGAACTATATTTAGTGAGTGCCTTGTTTCATTCACAACTATTTTCTTGACCACATTTGTTAATATATAGCGAAGAACCAAAAAGATAAAGTGAAGTGGGTTCGGAATCACAGTGAAACGAGCTATATAGAGGCAACTATTGTTAGGCAATGATTTGCAATTGGTTTGAAAAATGCATTCACAGCCACAAAAGACAAACAATCTGAGGGGGAGTTAAGCCGAGCACAAATAAAACCATAAACAAACGCACCGAGCCAAAGCTTCAAAGATACAGATACATTTACAGATACAAATGCAGATGCAGATACAAATAGCCGGTTTCACAGATGCGGATGCGGCTGCAGTTTGCAGTTTGCATTTTGCAGCTTGCGGATTGCTGGATTGCTTTGGCTTTCAGCTCGGAAAAGCGAAAGCTGACAGAGAAATGGAAAGAGGAGGGAAATGTATAAAATTGCAGCCACAACCGTCAATTGCTGGGCAACCAAATGTCCACCCGTTCTCCCATCCCAAATCCCGCATTCAGCCTCATCAGCAATCCGCGACAATTCTTGGCAAACTATGTACTTCTCCGAACGCTCCACTTTCTACTTCTCTACTTTCGAGCACTCCATCAACTGCTTAGGGGAAAAGTGGAAAAGTGTGGGAGAGGGAAGGCAATTTCATATGCGGAATATGCCCAACCCTCCTCCTCTGCAGCGAACTGCATACAATTACAAGCAAGATGCAAAATGTGCACCCAAGTATCTGCCAGATACTTAATAGCAGCAGCAGTAGAAGCTGAAGAAGCAGCACGAAATGGCCCGGAATGCCAAACGAATTCATATTTGATGTATGAGCCAGCAGCTAGCAGCTAGGGATGTTCAAAGGAAATGCCAAATGAGATGTTTAAGCATATTTTGCGCAAAGAATTCTGGCAGCACAGTAAACTCCGTGTGAAAGCTGATTTTGGAGCTGGGAAAAGTAAGGAAAAGCCCGGGAACTTGTGTGAAATTAAGAAGTGTGCAGGATGTGGATAAGGAAATGTTGAAAAAATATCCTTTCCATTGAGTGCATTAGGGAGTATTTGGAAAAATGGAATAAGGAAAAGGGAAATGTAAGGAATATATTTGTCTAAAAATGAATTTTAAAATCATTTCATGTGTTCCAGTAAAGAAGCTTAAAATAAAAAGTGATTAAGAAATAATTAAGTGTAATTCCAAAAAATTACTATAACTAAACCAATTTATTTATTTTTTTAAGTAGGGGAGAGTGGGGGAATTTCGTCACAGGGGCAATTTCGTCACCTGCAATATCTCGGAATCCATAAGTCGCAAAAATATATAATTTTTTTGTTTTAGTCCTTCAAGACGGCCAGACACAACCAATGCATTTGTTTTGCACAGAAGGCCAAGATAATTAAGCTATAATATTAAATGTGTTTTAACAGTTCAAAAGCTACATTTAGTTCTCGACGAAATTTTTTCTGTATGCCACAATTCAAAAGGAATAAGATACACGATTTTTTATATAATACACAGTGCTATAATGTGCATTTCTGCGTCAGTGATTTTTAACTTCGCGCCTAATTTCTCAAGAAAAATAATTATTTCTAAAAAGTACGGTCTGGGGAAATTTCGCCACCCTACGCTAAGGGTAAATTCGCACCTATTTTAAATACATATTTTTATATTTGACGAGCTGGCTAACGAACAGACTACCAGCAGCAGCAACAAATATAGGACGTCAACAAAAATGGTACGCTTGATCAGTGTAGCATATTTTCAGGCGTTAAACTCCCTACATTTTTCAGGTGACGAAATTTCCCCAGTTGTGTGGTGATTTTACCCCCTGTGTGGTGAGATTGCCCCAGTATATTGGTTTTACATTTTATTTTTTTATAAATCACCAAGCTAATTAAAACAAGAGAGAACGCTATAGTCGGGTGCCCCGACTATCAGATACCCGTTACTCAGCTAAAGGAAGTGCGAAGGAGATGGAGATAAAACTTTGATCCGCCGCAACTTTTTAACGAATGGTCCGATTTAAAAAATTTCTTCTACATTCCGATAGGTATTGATAAACACCATAAAATTGCATTTTTACTTTTCTGAAATATTGAAATTTTTAAAATCGTATATAAGCGATTGTGGGCGTTAGAGGGGGCGTGGCACCCTTTTGAAACAAACTTGCGCTGCGTAGGAACTCCTAGAATCTGCATGCAAAATGGAAATCTTCTAGCTTTTATAGTTTCCGAGATCTCAGCGTTCATACAGACAGACAGACGGACAGACGGACAGACAGACGGACAGACGGACAGACAGACGGACAGACGGGCAGACGGACATGGCTAGATCGACTCGGCTAGTGATCCTGATCAAGAATATATATAGTTTATAGGGTCGGAAACGCTTCCTTCTACCTGTTACATACTTTTGCACGAATCTAGTATACCCTTTTACTCTACGAGTAACGGGTATAAAAATAGGGGAATGTCACATTTTAAAGCTTGGTGCTAACCGCATTCAACAATAAAAATAGAAATATGATAACGTGTCTCAAGATGGACAAAAAATAGCTTTGAAAAAATGCTGACGAAATTCCCCCACTCTCCCCTACTACATTTTATGTAAAATATGGCATTTCCTTTCGTTTTGGATGTACGTAAAAAATCTTACAATTTTACTAAGAATTATATTAAAACAAGAGAGAACGTTATAGTCGGGTGCCCCGACTATCAGATACCCGTTACTCAGGTAAAGGGAGTGCGAGGGAGATGGAGATATAGATTGAAAACTTTGATCACGCATAACTTTTTAACGAATGGTCCGATTTGAAAAATTTCTTCTACATTTCGATAGGTATTGATAAACACAATAAAACTGCATTTTTACTTTTCCAAAATATTAAAGTTTTTAAAATCGTATATAAGCGATTGTGGGCGTTAGAGGGGGCGTGGCACCATTTTGAAACAAACTTGCGCTGCGTAGGAACTCCTAAAATCTGCATGCAAAATGCCAATCTTCTAGCTTTTATAGTTTCCGAGATCTCAGCGTTCATACAGACAGACAGACGGACAGACGGACAGACGGACAGACAGACGGACAGACGGACAGACGGACATGGCTAGATCGACTCGGCTAGTGATCCTGATCAAGAATATATATACTTTATGGGGTCGGAAACGCTTCCTTCTCCTGTTACATACTTTTGCACGAATCTAATATACCCTTTTACTCTACGAGTAACGGGTATAATTAATAATGAAATAAATTTTTTGTGTAAAAAATTGTATATCCTTTTTTATCGGTTCATAAACATTTTTAGAACTTTAATAAAAATTCTTTTATGATTTTGAACAACTCTCACTTGAATTAACCCCCAATTT